TGAAGTTACTCAAGTAAAAGTAAACGTATAACATGAAAAAATCTACTTAAGTAAAAGTATTAAGTGTTTTGCAGAGATTTGTAGAACAATTAAATGTTGAAATGTCATGATTTTGAGAAAGAATTTAGCTGATTTTAAGTGATTCCATTTATTTTTTTTATTTTTCCAGCTGTTTTTGTAGTTTATTTGATTTGCTCAAAGTTGGGATGGAAAAAAGTCTCAGCCATTTTGTAGTTTTGAGCTTTAAAACCATTGTAATTGAATAAATGTGAAGTAGAGCTGTTTAATGTCACACTGTGGAAAATTCCAGGCAGAGCAATGACATATCCACAGAAATAAGCAGGTGACGGTCCCCCCCCCCAACCAAAAAGTTACAGAGTGTACCTTTATATTTCGTCCTTGGGCAAAAGTAGCGGACACATCCCAGCTCTCTCCTCTGTCAGGCCCTGGTGTCTATATATCATTGCCTGGGTGTGCGTGAGCTGACACACACTCTCTCCTGCAGTTCAGAGACACTGGAGGTTTTGTGCTGCACTAAGCAAAAAAAAACACACAAAGCTACACTGGGACTTTTCCAACTCGAAGAAGAACTGTTTCAAACTCTACAGAAAGTGACTGCCTCTCCAGAAAGTACAGATTTGAGTGGGGAAGTCTCTATTTCCCATTGGTGAAGATAGTTATAGTTCATTCTTAATTTAGCAATGCAAATGCTGAGGATGTTTAAAATTGTTAGTGACATTGTGGGGAATAATAAATTTGAGTATTTTTGGCAAATCCACACTGACATATCCGTTTTTTTTTTCAGAGTAGTGTTGGTACGATACTGAAATTTCAACTCTTTCGATTTCCATACTAAGAAACAGATTTGATACTCAATACTAAGGGTGTGCAAAAATATCCAAATATCGCTATATGGTATCATTTAATGTGATGATACAGTATCGATATCCTGGGCTGCTGTATCGATATATCGCCAAGAGTATTTTTTGGTATATTTTATTAAATTCATTTGTTATAGTGCTAAAATTCTGTTGCTTGTTCATTGGAAGGAAACTTGTTTATGCGACACATTTGACATTTTCACAGTTTTGATGATTAAAATGCTTGTGTTTCATATTAACTTTGTGCAAGAAATGGTTTAACAAAGACTGAAACATACTCTCTTGAATTGTATCGAATCGTAAGCTCACTGTATCGAGATATGTATTGTATAGGCAACTTCTGAATGATATAGTCCAACTCAATACCGATTTCAGTGCCATGATAATGATAATAATAACACTTTTCCTTTAGAAAATAGAATGGGATTAAATAAAGTACTTTCTTTATAATGCTATGCAGTCTTTCAGCCTTATATCGGTGTAATTCCTGAGTCGTCCAGGCATGTTCCAAAGTGGTCCAAGGGCAAATACTAGTGTGTGGTCTTGTACTTGGACTGCTTATATTACTTGCTATTCAGGAAAGGTTAAATTCTGACTTTTTTAGTATCGATACCTGCCCAAATAAGTATCTACTTTCAATACAAGTTTCAGTATCGATTAGTATCTTATATTTAATACTTTGAGGGATACAGTCATAATGCAGAGAGACATTACTCTCCATTGTGCCTCAAACTGGAACCAAACAACTGTGATATTACTTCCTTTTTTCCGTAAGCAGTCGTATTTGTTTCAATATGGGCAGAACATGCGTGTCCCTGATTTGTTGGTTAATCCACCGATGAATCACAACCATCCGGAAATGGGAAGAGTCACTATGGAAGATAATTTGTTCCATCAGATTTTGAATTTTAAATACAGCTGAATTTCTCACTTTGAATTTTTCAACTCTGAAAAAACATGTTAGAATTATTTTTACTCAGAATTTTAGTTGCTGATAGTTTAGTGTTTAAAATTCAATAAAAAAATTAAAATAAAAAATCACCTTTCAAATATTCAGCACAAATATTTTCAAGTCCTCAAATTCACCAGTTAAAATTCAGAGTGTAAAATTCGCAGTGAAAAAAATTTGCAAGAAAGATCCAGGATGCCAAGGCACTAAGCAACTAATCCAAACTTAACAACAAGCAAGAAATGGTGCAGTGAAGCGATTTGTCTGATCAGAATTAGCCTTGTCCAAACATCATTTCTTTTATTTCTTAAGTGTAAAACCGCCCACAGATGAAAAAGGCCAATAGAAAACAGCCTCTGTCCTCCTCACTCAAAAAGGATCGATTGCTTCTGCCTGGGCATCTTGGCTCTTTGCTGTGAATCGTTTCTCTGCGAATTTTACAATCTGAATTTTGACTGGTGAATTTGAGAGCTATTTAAAAAGGTGTTGAAAGGTGACTGAAACATATTGATTTCAGCAACTAAAATTTCAGCGAGAAATTCAGCAGGATTTAAAATTCAAAATCTAATGGAACAAATTATGTTCCATAAGTCCCCAGCGACCAGACTCACATCTCTGTAAAGTATTGACGCAGATCTCAGGCAATGAGTTTAGAAACATTTTCAGCAAAATTTTACTAATAAGTTCACTGTCTTTTTTGAACCAAATTTCAATTTCAGATGTCAAAGGTCAACAATAGACAAGAAAGTTTTGGGATTTAAAAAAAAAAAGAAAATTATATGTCAAATCTGGGTTATGTTTTGTTTGGTAGTAGGCAACTTTTTTCTTTTTTTTCATGGCATATTTTAAGTATGTATCATCAAACAACAATTACATAATCTGATGTGCTCAGAAATATATATTCAAAACAAATTAAACTATCCGTCAGTTTTGTCTGTTGTGGATTCTCTCTGTAATTACAGCGACATTAACCATGAACAAAACCACACACCATTTGCATTTTAAACATCACATTCTGACATGCCTGCCCTCCACCTCAATTCTAAACTATAATCTATTCGGAATGACATCAAATTACTCCAAGTATTACAGTGGGAATTTGCGATCCATAGAGAACCATCTTCCCTAAGACCTGGAATGTGCGATGTTTGTGTAATAGCAATTAGCTTAGCATCTGGGGTCAGTGAATCCATGCGTGCAGAACGGAGCTTTTCGTGGATCCCCGAGCGTGAAAGAGTAACGGTGTTACATAGATCCATACAAATAATGAATAAAAAGGCAGGGGGATTGTCATTTCACATTACGGTATTTTAATTACAGTGGATTTGTTTTGTGACCCAGATGCAAATACTCCAGGAGCACTTAGAATTCCTCTGGGAGCCCGCCAAGATTATGGTGTTTGCCACTTCACGACGGATAGATAGGAGCTGCGTCGGACTATACAAATCACAGCTATGCAGAGATACGAGACGTCTCTCACACAAGGGACAATGATTTGACTAAGTTAGACATGCGAAAATACAATGTGAGAATAAGAAAGGCTAATAATAATGCATTAGTCTAGCGCTTTTTCACTGGAAATCACATTATAATTTCATGCACTGTTGTTGTTCATTCACCGCCTATATTCAGTGACAATACAATACTTCTATAGCCAAAGCTGCCCTGGGGTAGATTGGCAGATGTGTGGCTACCAGTCTGAGCCATCTGCCCCTTCAACAACCACAACTCATTTATACTAAACACTAGGGAGCCACCGATACAATAAAAATGTATGGATCGGTATATGATACAGTATACATTTCGTGGGCTGCTGTATCGATATATCGCCAAGAGTATTTTTTGGTATATTTTACTAAATTATTTTGTTACAGAGCTACAGTTTTGTTGTTTGTTTAGAGGAAGGAAACTCATTTATGTGACACATTTGACATTTTCACTGTTTTGATGATTAAAATGAGTGTGTTTCTTTGCACGACTTTGCACAAGAACTGATTTAAGAAAGATTTTTAGTATCAGAGCCATGATTTTTTATTGAAACATATCGAATTGGTTTGAAATATATCATATAAAATCAAAAGGGCACTGTATTGAGAAATATACCGTATCGTGGCCTATGTATCGTATCTGCAATTTCTTAATGATATCCAGCCCTAGTCTTTATCCTGTTTTGTTCTGAAAATGTGTGTAATAAGATTATTTACTGGACATGTTGGCCCAAACACCTTGTAATATTATTTTAGTTGTTCTGTAGTTACTTAAAATGATAAATAACAGTTATGAAAAACATTTGGATTACCGTACGCCATGTGTTGTGTGGAAATAAATTATAATTTTACTTTATTTAGTGAGATTATCGATTATCAGCAGATAAAGCCAAAGTATCGGCGTCAGTATTGGAACACAAAAAGCTGGATCAGTGCATCCCTACTAAACACCATATTCATAGAAAGGCCAAAGAGATGAAGTGTCTTGCCCAAGGACACAAAGACAGCAGGCACTGGAAGCTGGGATAAAACCTCCAATCGAACACCAACTACTGTGAGAACTACACAGTCCTTCAGAACATGTCTAGAACTCTGTCTCTTTGCTTTAAGCTATTTTGACGACTGACCTGAAATTTATTTAAAACAAGAACAGCAACCTAAAAAGTGCACTGTGTAATTTTTCTGGCAGAGGATCCATCAAATGCTTTGGCCATGGAGATGTTATTGCTTTCTCTGGAATGTTTCACAGTGTGGCATTAAAACAACCTATTCATGGAGACCAGATCAGACCAAGTTACAGGTCAGATCTGTGGAGAAGTGACCCCGCTCACAGTCAGAATGTCTGTTTTTCTTGATATTTTTGTGCTATTAAACCATCTGTAATTGAATAAACGTAAGGTAGAGCTGTTTAAAGTCATACTGTGGAACATTCCAGACAGAGCAATGACATTTTCGCATAAAAAAGCAGGTGACGGACTCAAACCAAAAAGTTACGTAGTGCACCTTTAAGTGTTATAGATCCGAATGACAACAAAAATATTAAAAACAAACTAAAACTGAGAATTTAATTGCACAATTTATATTTTAGAAATTGTTTTATAATATAGTCTGACTTGTCTTCCTCTGAGCACAGCATTGTCCTGAAATCACCCACAATACACCTGGGTAAGCTGAAGTCCTTACCTGCTTGCCCGGTGGCGATGCTGACCGCCGCAAACAGCCTCTGTGTTCGGCTCAGATCCGACACGCCGTTGACCGCCTCCACCTCCAGCGTGTAGTTGGCGTGTGCGAGCAGGTCCGTGATGCTGACGTACGTATCCACCAGGCCAGACTGACCGGGGAAGTAGCCCACGTTGGCGCCGCAGGGGACGCACTCTTCCGGCTCCCAGCTGCAGCGACGGCAAATGACCCTGTACGTGACGTCATTTCTGCCCCCTGTGTCCGCCGGCGGGCCCCACTCCAGGCTCACCGTGGTCTGGTTGATGTTGTAGACCAGGTTCTGAGGCGCAGATGGAGGTCCTGGAAGAGGTGGAGGCAAAAGAAATGGAAATTACATGAAGTGAAAGTGAACCAGTGGTGGATAAAATACGCAATTTTGTTACTTAAATATGCGTTGTGTAACTTTTCGTCAAACGCTTTTCTCCGTGGAGATGTTACTGCCTGGCCTGGAATGTTTCACAGTATGACATTAAATATTTCTATCTTCATGGACACCACACCAGATCAAGTTACAGGTCAGATCTGTGGAAAGGCAACCCCACTCATAACCAGAATGCTTGTTTTTATAGGTATTTTTGAGCTGTAAAAAAAACTGTATTTGAATAAATGCAAGCTGTACTGTGGAGCATAGTCATATCCATGTGGCATAGTGTACCTTTAAGTAAAAGTACAGGTTCAAGGTCAAAAACTCAAAAACTTAAGTAAAAGTACCTGTTTAAAAATATACTTCACGAGTACAAAGTAAAAGTATTTTGCAGAGCTTTTTAGAACGATTAAAGGATGAAATATAGTGCTTTTGATAAAGTATTAAGCTCACTTTAATTCCACTGATTTCTTGTTTTTTCATTTCAAAGTACTTTTTATTTTTCAGTCCAGATCTAAAATGTAGCGAAGTAGAAAGTATTTACTTAAAGATGCATTTTCTGGTGGAGGGTCTGTCACCTGCTTTTTTCTATGGACATGCCATTGCTCTGGAATGTTCCACAGTGTGACATTAAACAGCTCTACTTTACATTTATTCAATTACAGGTGGATTTATAGCTCAAAAATACTTAGAAAAACAGGCATTCTGACTGTGAGCAGGGTCTCCTCTCCACAGATCTGACTTGTAACTTGGTCTGGTTTGGTGTCGATGAAGATAGAAAGGTTTAATGCCATACTGTGAAACATTCCAGACAAAGAAATAACATCTCCACGGACAAAAAAACATTTGACAGATCTTGGCGCAAAGTACAGAGACCTAAAACTTGTACTTGAGTATTGTACTTTTACTTTTACAGAGCACACTGACTGCATCTGTGCGCTCACTATTCTCTGGGAAAGAAAAAAAAGAAAAGAAAAAGGAACACTATGGGACAAGCCAGCACCAGCCCCGAGCCAAATACTGACACTCAATTATAATAAGAATCAGGTCCGCGGAAAAGAGAGGCTACTCGGAAAAAGGAAGCTGGTACTGGCAGGTAGCAAGGTCAGAGGGAGAGCTGGGACAGAAGAATGGGCAGATTTTCAAAGGGGCCGTGTCAAGAGTACAATGCAGGTTTATAGACACTCATTAAAACCCAGGCAGCTCTGATCACATATATTACTTTTACTCTAATACACCAAATAATCTACAATCGAATCAATACAAGAGAAACGTACGCACAAATAAAGGCACTTTACTTAGTTCATTGGAATTAAAGGGCCCATAGTGCGCTATTTCCTGATCTCTAATCTGTTTTTTCATTCACAGATTCTCCAATTTTGTCTTAATTTGGTGGGATAATACGTATTGTAAATATAAATTATAGTTTTAGATGGATTAAGAAGCAGTTTGTTAAGAAAAGTTTAAAAATATGCAGGAAGTAGAGTTTAATCCAAGAATTAGTAGCAATTCCCACACTACAAACATATTTTTATGTCACTTTAAACCCAATTTCAACTAAATAAAGGTGTTTTGTTATATTTTTATTTGGCAAATATTAATTGCTGTGCACATTTTAGGAGTTTTGGCATAGTGTACAATATGGTTGCTAGGTAACAGCTAAGGGGAGGCTGCTGTCACTCCGGCCTTGGGGACAACAGATAAGGAATATTTCATCAAAATACTGTGTAATAATACAAAAAAAGAGCTTTGTTTTGTGTTTTGTTTTCGCTCCATTTAATATCGCTACGAATAACTCATTCAGTTCATTATAATGCACTTACAATAGCGTTCACCATCTGCTCTGCTCGACAAATGTTATTTATTTTAGTGCTGTTGTGCTTTAGGTGTTTTGCAATGTACAGTTTAGGGTTGGCAAATGTATTGAAAAAGAGATACTAATGGATGCTAAAGCTGGTATTGAAAGTACATACTCATTTGAGCAGGTATCGATACTAAAAAGTCACATTCACAGCAAACATGGTGATATAAAACAAAGTACTATGATACTATGAAAGTTGAAAATGAAAAAGCAATGTTTCTTCTATGGACCCATATTTTAAAAGTCACAAACCTTTGCGACCCACGTTAATAGACATGATTCATAAATCACAAAATGATGGATTTGACCATTACTGAACATTAATGAGGAAATGTTATTGTTGACTGAGTGATTGTGTCTCTCTGAACAATTAGTATTACTCAAGTTTTAAACAATGAAAAACATTGAACCAGCAATAAATTAAATGTAGCCCATTTCTTTTTCTTTTCAACATTCAATTGAACCAGTAACAGTTGAACAAAATAGTCAGTCAAATAATTACAAAAATAATCGAAATTATACAAAACGTGTATCTTTAACGTTTCAAAATTTCTAATGAGATAGGTGGTCCTGTCTGCGTTTTTGTAGCGCGTTCCAGTCCGGGGTGCAGGATCAGAGCGCAACACGCAGATCAGGAGCAGCATTCAGTCTGTTTCGGTGCTTTGTTATAGTTGTTTGTTATAGAAATACTGGCCCTACTGAGGACAAGACATTGAAGATATTGTATAAAATGACGATAATGACGAATTGTTCACAACTGCATATTATAGACCTACATGCACATCGTGACAAGGCGGCCCAACAAAAATCTCTTGAGAAGCACTTGAGAGTTGCGATCCAGTCTTAGAGAAACAGACAGAGTGGTTTCAGAATCAAGTCTATTCCTTAGTGGCAAAATACTTACACAGGCCCAAATAAAAATCTGTAACTCTAACTCTTTTTTTCCCTCTAGACATAAAAAAAACAACAACTATGAGAACCCACAAAGTTATTGCAATAGAAATGTATAAGTAAACAAAATTAAAAAGTGTGCCATTTTGAATCCTATTGTTTAAATACGACTCATTAACAGGCAGTATGGTTGGCCGGCCAGTGATTAATCTTCATTATGAGCACGCACGTGTATGAAAAAAGAATATACTAACACAATTCATCATTATGGTACAGTGAGGAGTACAGCAAGGGAACCTGAGAACCTACTGAGTCAGGCCAAACAAAACATACAGTTAAAGGTGCTCTGTGTAACGTTTCTGGTGGGGTCTGCCAAAAGCATGTCTCACCTATCGCCATAGTAATAAGCAGCTTACAGTAATATTTATCACTTCACTTAGTTCATTAGAATTAAGTGTTAAAAAGGTTAAAGGTCCTATATTACACAACATGTACACTTTGTTATAATAGTGTTAGCTCAGTAAAAACATATCTGGAGTTGTGTTTTGTTTCATTCACACATGTTTGAGTAAGTCTTTATTATTAGTCTGTGTACATCTCCAAAGCTTAAAATGCTCGGTTCCACTTTGTGATGTCATGAAGTAGTTTTCAAGTTAACAGCTCCTTTTACCTTTAGTTCAGTTGAGATTCACTGAAATGATATAATATATATCTATAATATGGTGGACCATCACAATATATCGAATTACAAGTCTCTTTGCTTAAATTAAGAGTTATGGTGCAGCAATAGCTAAAAAAAAGATAGAGGGAACTACATAGACCATGATCCTTTGCTCCATTTCAGTGTAGACTACATAAGAAATAAAAGTTCTAAGCACTTTTAAATCTTAGTTCTTTAGATTAAGTCTTGTCAAGGCATTTTAAGAGGGTAAAGTAACATATTAACAGTTTTATTAGCCTCCACAAAATATCACAATAAATATCGTACTGTGAGATTTATACCGTGAAAATATCGTATCGTGCCCACATTGTGCAGTCCCACTCCAACCTGCGCCTGCAAAGAATTGTAATTTTCATTCCCCCTCCTGCCCTCATCTGCGAGTTTGTACCGCTCCCACCCGCAAATCCCGCAAAATCGGGCACTCGCTTTCTTAAACTCTATCAAACACGGAGAAGCAGAAAGGAATTGCTTAAAATGTGTGCGAGATTAGATCAAATCCGCAAGTTTAGACTCGTGAAAATATCGTACAGAGAGATTTGAATATTGTTACATACCTAATTATGAGCCTCCCCACCATATCGTGATCTTTCCTACGATAAATATCATACCGTGTGGTTCATACTGTGACAATATCGTATCGTGAGACTTGGATATTGTTATACCCCTAAAAACAACATTAGAACATAGATCAGAAAGTAATGTAACAGAGGCCCGTTATAACCAGACAATGCTTTCAAATAATGTAAACATGGATCCTTGGATTAGCAGACCATGTTGTGATTCAGATGGTGCGGCGCTACAAGCATTCAGTCATGGTGCCAGTATTTACCAGAGGCTCCAGTGCTTAAAAACACAAGCGCTGCTGGCCACACAGAGCCAGACACAATATCTCATTAATGACAACTCAGGTCAGCACTGGGCACTTTCTTATCCAAGCTCGCTTATGGTTCAACTAACTGACACGCCATATGCTGTAAACCTGCCACTTAGCAGTAAGCACAAGGAAGAAATACAGTATGTCAACAGAAAATTCACAGCCAAACATCACTCTACAAAGTCACTGAATTTTAAGGTTAACATTTAAATCAGAAGCTAAAATATATATTTTTTCAGTTTTGGTGTTGTCCATTTGCAGATTTGTTTAGGCAATACTAATGTTGTCTTAATACTAAAATTTTAAGCTTGAATTTAATACTAAGGACTCAGATTGTAGGACTTTTTTGGCCTTATACTTGTGTAATCCCTCACTCACCCAGCTATTCAATAAAGGTTAATTTCTGTCTTGTGACTATGACTTCTTTAGTATTCATACGTGCTCGACTGACAATTTAGTTTCGATATTAGTTTTAGTATCAATTAGTCAGATTTTCGATACTTCTGACAACAATAGTGCAGGTAAAACAGCAAATTTACTTCCTCTTGAGAGCTCACATTACTAGATTTTCACTTCATGATGTCATAAA